TATCCATACAAAGAACACTATCCGGCAAGATACAGTACTGAGTCACTCAGCCAAATAGGTGAATCATAGGTGCATTCTAATAAATGAAAGAAGCCATACCCAAAAGGCTACGTGTTACATGATTCTTTATGTAATATTCTAGAAAAAGCAAAATTAACGGGATAGAAATCAGTCAGTTGCTAGGAGCTGAGAAGCCATACAAGGGAATTTTATAGGAGGGTAGAAATACTTTCTGTGGTAATAGGGTAGGGGACTCCACCCATTTGTCAAAATCTATGTAGACCAGACTTTACTGTATGCAAAGTTTTTTAAATTAAGGAAGATATTAAGGAATCTCAGGATGAATGTAGCTTGAGACAATTGAATCTAACTGTATTACATATATATGCCATGACCTCAGTGAATCGGGTGAAAGGGAAAGAAGTTAACTTTAGTAAGTTTTTTGCATTTTGAATGAATACTGTAAAGCTAAAGATAAAAAACCTGTATAGTACCAACTGCACTATAGTTGGTAAATATACTTCTCACAGAGGTATAAGTTATTAGTTCTAAAATTACATTGTATGTACGCTAGGGCTTAATAAATACAAGTGAATGGGATTCAGGTTTCACTTTTAGAGTTAGCAGTTAACAAAAAAGCAAGGAAAAGAAGTTAGAACCTATTATATTCAAATATTTCCTATCTCTGACTTTTGAAAGAGCCTAGAACCAAGGATACCTTAGGAATAATGGACATACCTAACTCCCATATATTTGTTTCTGAATATTCTAGTATAAAAAGAACCAGGGCTCCTTGGAGAAATGATTGATATTCTAGGGCAAGGAAAATATAAGATGAACTTGGAACATCTTATAGAGCCTTAAAGTAAGAGAAGTGTTCAAAAATAAAAAGGATGGGTACATGTTAATGGGACAAAGAAGCCAACCCCAAAGAGCTCCCAAATAACTAAAAGTGAAACAATTTAATAGTATTGCATTATAACCCAAATAATAAAATACACATCCATGAGTCAATATTGATAAAAAATAAAAAGATTACATAAATGGGGAAGAAGGAGCAAGACTCTTAAAAAAATTCCAAATAATATATGTGGATATTCCTTTCTCTAGGAGGTGGAGCTTAACTCTCCTCTCCTTGAGTGTGGGCTAGTCTTACTGCCTCACTTCCAAAAAACAGTATGAGGGGCTGGGGATTTAGCTCAGCGGCATAAGCACCTGCCTTGCAAGCAGGCAGTTGTGAGTTCGATCCCCAGTACCGATAAAAAGGAAAAAGACGAAAAAAAAAAAAAAAAAAAAAAAAAAAAAAAAAAAAAAAGAAACCGGTATGAAAAGAGAGAATAGGAATTTTTACAAAGGAAAAACCTGGCAGATACCACCCCATTTTGATATCATGTATCCCATGATACAATGTGAACAGAAGGGCACTTCACCTTCTTCCCAAACCTGTTGTCTCTAGTCTAACCAGAAAAACAGCAGACCACCAACCCAAATAACTGACCAGAACTGTTCAAAAGTTTCAAGTTATGAAAAACAAGTAAAGACTGAAGAATTACCACAGATGAGATTAAGGAGGCAGAGCAAGAAAAAGCAATGTGAGAACTTAGATTACATTCTTAGATTATAATCAAAAAAGACCATAATGGATAAACCCGTAACATTTTAATAAAGTCTACAGTTTGAGTTAATGGCACTTTTACCAATTTACACTTCTTAGTTTTGACAAATGTATCATGGTTATATTAACATTAAGGGAAGCTGGATAAAGGGTATACACAAACTCTCTGTACTATCTTTGCAATTTTTCTATAAGACTAAAATTATTCCAATAGAAAAGTTCATTTAAAACACCAATAAAAAAAAACAAGTCCAGAAGCTTCTCATGTCATTCAGACTAGAGTGCTAAGTCTCTACAGTATCCTACAAGACACTATATCATTTGACTCTACCTCTGCTACTTCTCAGACCTCATCTACTGTTTTGTTGAATAAATTAATGAGTGGCCCTCTAAACCAAAACAAGTCAGCTAGCTAATCTTCAGAATTATCTGGGAAACTATTAAAATGCAGATTATATGTACATAGCTCAGATTCTTTTGAATCATTCTTTTTGAAGTGGGGGGAACTGTATGTTAATTACACATACATTCATACACATATACACACGTATTAGGAGAGAGTCTCATTATGTTGGCTAGGCTACTCTCAAACTTGTGATCCATCCATCTCAGCCTCCTGGGTAGCCAGGATTACAGCCATGTAACATCATATCTGGCTGGAAATCTGTATTTTTAAAAGTACCCTAGATGAATTTGAGGATTAGTTAGATTTGGAAATTTCTCAAAATGGAAAACGTTAAATCCTTTTTTAAGTATATAACTTTATGAACTAAAAAATAATCATGACTACTTTAACTGAAGAAGAAAATGTAGACACTCTGAGGTGGCAGCAAACTGAGATATAAGTGAATTTGCAAAAGTGTAAGTCCACTCTTAGAACAGTTGTTCTCAACTAGGAGCAATTTTGCCCCCTAGGGGACATTTTGCAATGTCTAAAAACAACTTCAGTTGCAATGACTAAAGCAACTGGTATCTAGGAGATAAGAGGCCAGAAATGCTTCTAAGCATCTGATAAAGCACAAGATAACCACCCATAATAAATAATTATTTGGCCTAAAACATCAGTTGTGTCAAGCTTGAGAAACTGCCTGAGGATGATCAACAGCCACCTTTAATTTCTGCAGGGTAGCCTGTTTACTCTTGAACCAATGCATAATTGGGCAGTTATTAAATTTTCTTCAAGTTTTTATTTTGAAAAAGCTTCAGAGAATTGAAAGAGCAGCACAAATATCCTTGTGCCCTTCACCTAAACCTACCACATGAAAATATGACCAAATTTGCTTTATTGTGTGCTACATAACATGTGCATATATGTGGTTTTTTGTTTTGTTAATATGACACTCAGCATACTTCTGTATAACTACAATAACATTATCATACCTCAGGAAATAAGAATAATCCATATACTTTTCATACTTCTTCAGTTTGTCCCACAAATGTCATTTATAGCTTTATAGCTCAGATCATCCCAATCCAAAATTCAATCAAAGTTCACTCATTGCATTCAGCTGTAAGGTCTCTTCAGATTTTTTATTCCAGAAGAGTTCCCCATCTTTTCTGTTTTCTAACAGTGCCTGAAGAAATCTAGCTAGTTGTCTTATTAAATGTCTTCTATTTTGGATTTAGCTCATTGTCTCATGGATTAATTTAACACTTTTCCTTTTCTTCTTATAAGCCTAGAATTTAAGTTTTGGCTCAATTAGATTTAAGTTAAATTGTTTTGGCAAAGTACGTCACAAGAGATGTGATGTACTTTTCTTTGAAGCTCATCAGAAGAAATACAATGTCAAGCTACTGATCACTGACACTAAGTTTGATCACTGTGTTAATAGTTATCACAAAATCTCTACTCTAAAGGTATGTTTCCTCTCTGAATTAGAATATAAATATCCTACTTCTTAGCAACATTTCCCACAGTAGTTTTGGCATCTACAGGTAATTTTTGTGTGAAGTAATTATTACATTGAGGTTGGAAAATGGTGATTTCCAAAGTCTATCATTTCTTACACATTTATTAGTTCACAATATTCTGTAAACAGCAGAGGAGTGTTCCTGTATTTTCCCCTCTCCGTACCTTATCACCATAGAGGGATGGATTTCTGTTGTTAAATTATTACCTTCATTTTTCTTTTTTTCCCCTTCGCCCTCCTCTTCCTTATCCTCCCCCCTTCCCTTTCCCCTTCTCTCTTTCTGGGTATTAAACTTAGGCCCTTGCATATGCTATGCAAATGTTCCCCCACTGAGCTACACCCTCCAGCTTCCAACATTCTTTTTAGTGGTGAAATTGTGCCCAAATTTGTCTTGTAGAAACCATTTCAAGTTGGCTCTTGTGACTTTCTGACATGACTTCATCAGTCTTTGGGTACTTCCTATGTGTATATTTGTTTTTTGTTTTTGTTTTTGGTTGCTGTTGTTTTTGTCTTTTTGAGACAGGGTTTCACTATGTAGTTCAGGCTGGCCTTGTACTCACTTTGTAGCCCAAGCTAGCCTCCAACTCACAGCAATTCTCCTGCCTAATGTCTGGTTTTTAAGACCTATTTCTATGATGTTTATTTCCTAAAATTCCTATAAGCTGTTTTAGTTCTAGGTTTCGTAGTAATAGAATAAAACGCAGATACTATTATTTGGGTTGGAACAATACTATGATACTACAATAACATGATGCAAATAACAAATCATTAATTTAGACCTACTTGTATGTTCACTTTATTCCTAATCTTCACACTTTAGGATGTCCATTACACTTGGTATGTGCTTCTATTCTGAAAGCTGCTGAAAGCTTAAAGGTTTGAGTTTTTTAATTAAAATTTAGCCTTGAGCGAACAACACTCTCATTCTGAGCAGATAAACAGAACTCTGTCCTCTAGAGGCAGTATAGCATCAAACATAGGTGGACAGCAACCATTCAGGAGGTTACAACAAACTCCAGTTCCTCTCTTTTAATATCTGAAGTGGATTGGTGATACTCATTGGGGAAATTCTAATTCTACCTGAGTTAATCATATTAAATACATAAAATAATATATCACTTTATATTATTTCTTTCTCAGTATGGTCAGAGCACATCAAGTGCTTTGCAACTTCAGGCAGGTAGTATAAAATGTTAACTCATTGCAGCACAATGCACAACAATAATCACTAAAAATAACAAGCAATAACATGTGATCTTTAATTACTAAGAACAGAGAACAAGGAAAAAATATTGCCTAATTTCTAGTCAGTTATGTAGGGCTTCTTGCATGATGTGAAATTTTGATATTTCTGAACATTAAGAGGAAATATATATAACAAATGAGAAGACAAAGAGAAATATTAAGGTAAGAATAAATCAAATCTGAATGTCAGGAAAATAACCACAGAAGTATACCAATCATTCAGAAGTTACCTTTACTCAGAAGGGGAAGGTAGTCAGGTGCTTTGTCCTGAAAAACCCTTTTTGCATCATCAGCTTTCATGGACACTTCCTTTGTTTGAACTAGGAAAAAGCCTTTACCAACCATCTGTGAAAAATAAAATTTCCTTTAGATTTTAAAATAAACATTTGAGATAAAAAAAATGTTACCCTATTCAAGCATTTTTCCGTCCAAAATTCAACACAGTATGTTGCTTTTTGTTTTAGTTATTAACTCTAAGTCAGGGCATTTGCAGTAACACATTCTCACATATAAAGATTCCTCAGTTCATGAACTCAATTTTCTCTATGATTCTGGTCCCAAACTGAACTGAATGAGAGCTGAATCAAATTTCCCCATGAGGTCAACATTGAGCCTAACCATTAAATTTGCTTCAGTTCTTATCTAACTTGGTTTACAACCAGAATTGTGGAAAGAATCAAGTCCATAGAGGAGGTACAAGTTTATAAGATTCCTTCTTACACATAGGTGGTTCTGGTTAAAAATTAGTAGCACAGGGACAAAATGATGGAGCAGTTGAATGGCAGTGACTCATCTTCTCCAGGCCAAAGTGTCTGGAGTCTAGAGGACAGTGGCTTGAAGAGGAACAAAAGTGACAGGAGACCAAGAGAACTGACAAAGAAGAAAAAAGTAGGACAATGATACAAAGGAAGTGGCCCATGTGGTAGAGGAGAAACAGAGGCACTGCTGAGGAACACAATTCACAATAGGTAAATCCTGGAAGCAGTCTATATATTCATCAACAGATGACTGGATAAAGAAAATGTGGTATCTGTATATAATGGAATACTACTAGGTTACAAAGAATGACACATTTGAGACATTTGTTAGAAAATATAATGTCCAGTAAAATAAATCAGACACACAAACTTAAAAATCATATGGTATCTTTCATTTGAGTGAGGCGAAGTACAAAGAAAATGATACAGCAATGATAGAAGGAGACAAAGGGAAAGATCTCTTGAAAGGGTTTAAGGGAGCAGGGTTAGGGATGAAGAGGAGGGAAAGGGGAAATGAGAGGTATAAAGATGTGCCATGTACAGGATCCTAATAACCCTAACTACTGTAACAATATAAGTCATCATAAGAGCTAAGACAAATAATATCAACAAGTAAGGAAAAGGGAATAGGGGATAGGGGAACTGGAGGAGAGGGAGGGACAGAGGATTAAAAAACCAGAAACAAGCTGTAACATGTACATGTAACCATTCCCCAAGATGACTGTAAACTGCATGAATTGCAAACATGTACTAGTAAAATAAATTATTAAAAAGTTTGTACTGTAATGTGTACTAGTAGGACTGAGTCAGATACCAAATGTTAATTATTCTTCAATTTAAAACGTAACTAAAGTGGGTTTGGTAGCACATTCCTATAATCCCAGCATCCTGGGAGGCTGAGGCAGGAGGATTGTAAATTCCATCTCAGCCTGGGGAATTTAGTGACCTAGTGAGACCTAAAGTAAAAAGTAAAGAAAAGGCTAAGGATACAGCTCAGTGTCAAAGAACAATGTTCAATCCCCAGTGCTGGAGAAAAAGAAATAAAACATAATTTAATTTTTTCTTCTTTACTGAAACTACCAGATAGATGATTTAGTTTGGTGATACTGAAAATTTATATTTCATAGTTCATGAAATATAACAAAAATATAAAATGGGAGTACTCATGTCATAATGTTATTTTTTAAAGCCATGGTACAAATTTGCACAGTATAACACAATATGAGATCAAATTTAAGGAGCACCTACTATAAACCAGGAAATTTTATGTACTTTACATGTGTAATACATTTCACTCTCACTATATAGGTATTCATTGTATGGATGAGATAACAAAGAGGCCAAGTGGTTAAGACACTTGCCCAAGGTTATAAAACTATTAAGTATCAGCTATGATTCGAACCTAATTCATCTGATTACAGACTAAATAATTCTAAATACTGTTCCTAGAAAGACTGTTTAAGGTATAATATAATTCTGAATGATTTAAAAATTATGTTTTCTATTCTTTATTTTTTATAGTTCAATAAATAAGTATATATTAATTTTAAAAATAATTATGACAATAATTTTTTTTTTTTGCCTTTTTCATTGTTATCGGTACCGGGGATCGAACTCACGACCACCTGCTTGCAAGGCAGGTGCTTATGCCGCTGAGCTAAATCCCCAGCCTCCAACAATAAATTTTTTTAAATGCAGTTATTCCAGCTACATTAAGCAAAGCTTACTAGGCTTAATAATAAAAATATATATTGCAAGAGAGACAGACAGATAGATACAGCTAAAAAAAGTATACATCAGGAAAAGGAAAAGTTTTATAAATATTTTAATACTAAATTTATTTATTTATTTAGTTCTGGGGATCGAGCTCACGACCTCACACTTGCCAGGCAGGCACTTATGCTACTGAGCTGAATCCACAGCCCCCAATACTAAATTTATTGAGACAATATGAGATTGATACAAGTTACCTTTGGCTTCTACAAATACAAGAAATACTGAAAGTGCTGGCCATTAGCTTCTAGATATTTATTAGTATAGCAAACTGCTGAAGTATATATACATTTTTGGTGGGTTCTTACACACACACACACACACACACACATATGTATTCTCACAAATGAACAATAAAAACTATAAAGAAATCAATATCAACCAAGGTGCTATCAAAGAGGCCACTGTTTGCTGTCACATAGATGTACATACTTTAATTTACTGTCCCACCCCGTTTTCTTTGTCCTTCAGTACAGAAATAATGCATGTTCTTTTTAAAATCCAGAGCTACAAATAAGAAAACTGTGCTCATAATCAACTTCCTAACAATAACCACAATTGGCAATAATATAGTATATATGATTCTAGACTTCCCTAATTAAAATCAGTTATATAATATTTTACAATTTTTTCCTTACTTGTGAATATTATCTAACTATTCTACTATAAAATTAGTTTTAGTGGCTGATGATATTTCATCCTAAGATTACATTATTCCATATCATTTAATCACATTGGCTCAAACTTGTAATTCTAGTTCTAAAGAACTCTCATTCAATGTTATCTCCGAATAAAGAAACATCCATTTAAAAACTGCAAGAAATTACATAATTGTTACTGCCAGATGATTGTAAAGTTACTTAAAAGATAAAAAACAATTCTATTTCCATTTCTAATATTCTATTCTGCTTCTCAACTATCATTTTATAGTTGAATGTATAAACTGACTAAATTTGGATTAAAGTACCGTTATCTAAACAAATAATGAGCTATGAAATTAGATTTTCATATATTAATAAAAATACTTGAAGAGACTTCTTTCCACAAAAATCCAATTTCTAAAGATTTAAAAATAGTGGTAACTACTGAGCTTAAGTAATCAAAATAAAATACTACCTTAAATATAATCAAAATAAAAAACTATCTTAACTCTAATTTATCCTGTATGTATCTATAATGTTTGAAGAGCAAGCAAGAAATATGACCTTTACGTTAGAAAATCAAGATTCAATAACTTTTCTTGACTCCATATGGAATATGCTTTCTGTAGCTTTCCAGTTTCTTATGCTTTCAAATCTTATAGTTGAGAAAACTTTGTTTATTTATAAAAAGCGTGAAACAAAATTTTGTGGTAATCCTGGGATTTAACAAAGCTAGAGTACGCAATCACATCTTTAGTCTAACCTGTCCTAGGATACTTGTGTTAGTGATATGAGAAAGATTCAAGGTTTTGTTTTCCAACTCAGAATTAATTAGTTTCTACAAATACTTCCCTGGGAAGTAATCTCTTAACATAATATGTAAGTCTTTTGTTTTTCAGCATGTTTGGATATTCTTTTCACACATACGTTGCATTTTCTTTTACTGTCTTATTCTTTCTCTTTTATTCCTTGTTTCTGTGCTTTCAGAATTAGACAGCTCTAGTCAGAGTCCCTAGGTTGTAGGGCTCTTGAGTCAACATGTGTTCAGTCACATTCCTGCTCCATCCAGCATGCATCAACTTTCGTTCACACCTGGGGCAGTGTAACAGTGTTGTATTTAAGGTTTAAGGCTGTAGCCTATAGAGCCAGACTGCCTATATATGAATCATACCTCTGCTGTTTACCACCTCAGTGACCTTTCGCAAGTTACCCTCTCTGTGATTCATTTTTCTTATCTGTCAAAAGGTGAGTAATAGAACCGCCTTCATGGGGTGGTTTTGAACATTTAGCTGATTTAAATGCCTTACAATTTCTTGCATAAACACTATGTAAGCACTAGCCATTATTATCAGTATTGTGAGATTTTTGCTATTGTATTCTAGAAAGTAACATAAAGAACATCATTCTTCCAGCTACTTTCCTTTTGAGAGCACATGACACTGCCATTGCACAATCAGATACCACAAGTTTTAAGGCTAAGAACACTTGATGACTCATGAAGAAATATTGTTTGTTTTGATAGCTTTTTTCTTTAACATGTTAAATATTCTTTATGACCACTCCTGATTAGCTACCAAACAGTTTAATCTGAAAACAATCTTTTTAAGACTAACTATAGATTCTTAAAAAAAACACCATGTAGTACAATGAATGTATTTATCTTTCCAATGTTGGATTAATGTGTGATTAGATAGCTGAAAGGGCCACAGCACATTTTTCTATACTTAATTAGATTCATAACCTGCTTTTATCAGATTGGAACAATCACAAAAGAAAATCTTGAAATTATGCTTCATCTTCTGTTGTCTTGAAAACCATACCTCAGATATAATTTGTGTATTTCAGACATGGGTTTTCCACATTATAGAATATATAGCTATAGAGAGGTTGTCATGTTTTAGTTCTTTTCCCAAAATTATTCCTTTTGATATGCTTTAACCTTTTAAATAATTCCTTCAAAAAGAGACTTGAATTTTTAATTTACTTTTCTATTTCTGGAAGTTTGAATTTTAAGTCCAAATAAATTCCTCTTAAAGAAATGATTAATAGATAATTGACACATTCTACCGCTGCCTCCCTAACCGAGCACCTACTAACAAAGCACCTGCTGCTTCTGGGGCCCCTCTGACCCCAATTATTTTTCAAGTGAAGCTAAAACCCAAAGAACTCTACTCTTGAGCTGACCAAGAGCTGCGTTCATAAACTTATTATAACCTTTGCCATCCTGGGAATGGCATCTTGACTCCCATTTCATGTTTCTATAACCAGTCTTCTATAGCAATAGGGCACTAGAAAATCAGAAACACAGTACAGACCATCCTTTAGTCATGAGAGGGTCCAAAAGGTGTATTACTCAATGTCTTTTCCATCCCCTAACCAATTAAAACTTCAAAGAGATTTCCCTAGTGAATAATTATAAAAAATAATGCTTTATTGTAGTACCACTTTTGTAAGCACCTGTGTAAATCATTTCTCATAATAAATGGAAATTCTTTGAGGGCATAGAATTTTGTCTATGCAGCTCCATCTCCAGCACATGCTATAGTTCATCATTTTGATTGATTGATTGATTGCAGTACTGAGGATTGAAGCCAGGGCCTTCACACTGACCTTAATACCCAGCCTTTTTTTTTAAAATGTGAAACTGGGTCTCATTAAATTGCTAAGCTGCCCAGGCTGTGTTTAAACTTTTGTTCATCCTGCCTCAGCCTCCCAGAGTGCTGGGTTTATATGGATGTAACACCATACCTGGTTGTATTATTTGTAAGTTGCCATAAGTTACAAGTTGCGTTTAAGATTAGCAAAAATGTAAAAGGCAAATGTATATTATATAGTACATAAAATATGGTAACAATAACATACATAATCAGTGCTTTTAATTTTTTACTGAATATCTATCTATTTATATCTATCTGTATTTTTGTTTCTTTGAGACAGGGTCTTTCTGTATAGTTCTGGTTGGTCTTGAGTCAGCCTGGCCTTAAACTCACGGCAATCCTCCTGCTTCAGCTTCCTGAGTACTCAGATCATTGATGTGCACCACCATGCCTGGTCCAGAATTTTATATCTATCTATCTATTTATAGATAGATAGATATAGATATCAATCTCTCTCTCTCTCTCTCTCTATATATATATATATATATATATATATTTGTTTGTTTGTACCAGGGACTAACGACTTTGTGCTTGCCAGGCAGGTGCTTATACCATTGAGTCAAATCCTCGGCCCTAGAATTATACCTTTAAAAGGTTTCCCTGTGGAAATATTTTGAGGCCCAGTTAACTTACTTACAGATCAGTCTTGTGGAGTCGAGGGAAGGGAAGGGGCATGGGACTACAATTTATGTTTCCCAATACATTTAACAGTCAATTTTAAGAGAATGGAAGTTCTTTAGAGTTGAATATTTCTATCCAAAGGTGAAATCTGTTTTTTCTCTCCTTACCTCATCAATTAGTTTCCTGGCATTTGCAATAGTATAATCACCAGCAAATAATACCACTAAGCATGATTCATCACTGTTCTTCGGTCTCTGACCCCGAGATATAGGAATGATGCTTCTATTGGCTTCTGTTGACACATGGACAGCTTGGAGCTCTTCAGTAGTAGGAATAGGAACGTAATCCTGGATCACAGCATTTTCTGGAAGGAGACTCCAGTTGACCTCTCCTGACACAGGCGTAAAGTCATGAACGTTACTCCATGTGTTATTGAAGATACTTAGCCCTGCATCTTTGAACTGGAAAGCTAATTCAGGGTAGTACCACTGAAAACAGCCAAATTTGATATTTGTAGATGACTCAATAATGGGTTGAGTGGCACAGCACAAAAAGATTTCCAGCTTTCTACAATCCCGAACACGAAATTGTTGGCAAGCTAATGTACACTTGCAATCTCTGCAATTCCGGAAAAATACACTGCCTTTCACAGGTCCCAGAAAAATTTTGCAGTTAGTACAGTCATCAATGGTAACTGCAGCAGAGTGGTCAAAAATATAGATGTTACAGTTCTCACAGTCTTGAATGAAAAACTGCTGTCCTGCTACTTTCCCAGGTAAGCGACCTACTGTTTCATCTTTCAGCCCGTTGAACATATAGTCTTTTATATCAACCTGCAGGGACAAAGCACAGACCTTGAGTATTATAAACATTATTCAACAAAATCAATTAAGTGCCTACTGGGGAAATTCACACCCATACACAGCATATCAGATAATATTAAGAAACTTTTCATTTTGTTAGGTGGAGGATGGCATTGTGGTTATATGGAGAAAGGAATTCACCAATTAAAAATTTAAATGTTTAAAAATTATGAGCCTACTACATGGCATATCTGCGTGAAGAAAATATGTACTTGGAGGACTAAAATGTTTAGTTTCTTTAAAACTATAGCTCTTATTATAAGATTTAAAATCTTAGTTAATATATATCCAACTCCCAGTAGATGGATCTATTTTCTCATCTATCAAATTTCATTTCTGGTCATATACAACTAAAGAACAAGGCTGTTTGTGGTGACATATGCCTGAAATCCTAGCCACTCTGGAGGCTGAGGCAGGAGAATCTCAAGTACAAGGTCAGACTGGGCTACCCAGAGAGACTCTGTCTCAAACAAAACAAAAACAACTAAAAGGCAGCCTCTGTGACAATACGGTTTGAGTCTCCACATAGGTTAATCCAGGTGACACATTATTGCTGCTACTCAACAGGCTTTTAATGTATTTGGATTATATAATTAAAAATGTATGTGGTGTGCTATATATATTCTGTGTGAGTGTGTGTGCCAGGGATCGAAATCATGATCTTGCGCTTGCCAGGCAGGCGCTTAGGTGCTGACCTAAATTCTTGGCCCTGAAATATATTTTTAAATGATCACTAATAAAAATGGCTATGAAAATTCCACTCATCCTATATATCCACCTAGCTTTCTGATACATTTTTGCTTTTTCTAATGCTTCACCTTTAAAATTCTACTTTTAACAATTTTAAAATGGGAAATAAACCCAGAAAAAACATATTTCTATATCCTTCCACAAATCAATGGATGGGTCTATTTCTAAACCCTAACTGATATTTGCAATATGCCACAGAAAATGGGTAAGAATCGTGTTAGTGTTGGCGTCTAAAAGTTTGATCCAAACATTTATTAAGCTATAGCTATAGTGTAATTGTTTAAAATTTTACCTTTTCCTTCCTTAGGTATTCTAAACAGTAGCTCATATAATCTTTTAAATAGTACACCTTGAATCTGACACATTAGCCTTTTAACTGAACTATTCACTGGGCCTGTGATATAGCTGAATAGTAGACTATGTATTTAGCATTCATGGAGCCCTAGGTTGGATCTATCTATTCACTAGGAAGCCATTATGATTTTTTTCTAATGATTTTTTAATCTTCTTCAACTGTTTGTGACTGTATAAATTTCATGAAAACTATTTATATACCAGAAACAGGCATCCATAGATATAGTATATAAAATTTGACTATTTACAAAGCAAAATGTAATCATCTTAGTCATTACCAAGCTAGCTTAAAGTGATTTATTCAATACTACACAATAAATAATGTATTTATTCAGTTTTACATAATGTGCTAGAGGGAGCACTCTCTGGTCTGTAGCATGACAAAAGAGGTCCTTGATTTCCAGTCTCAATTTTGTTACCTATAAACATCATGATCTTGAAAAAGTATAACTTTGTGGATCTTTAGTCAATCAAACACTTGAACATCTACTATGAGCCAGACATTGTTTTAGGCACTAAAATGAATATAATCAGCTTTCTCCCTAAAGAAAGTAAACACCTAAATAAATCATTTAAATCATGTAATCAGAACGCTGAAAATATGCTGGCAGTGCAGATGAGGGACACTTGGAGGGGATAGAAGACTTCCTACACAAAGTAAGGATGAAAAAGTTGGAGTTTATCAAGTAAAAGTGATGAGAATAAAGGCATAGCACTCCTCTCCACGTCAGACAAAAGTAACAATGAATTAAGTAAAATTCTCCAGGAAGCAGGAGGAAAACAAAGTGATCTGGGATTGCCAGTGATACTGCAATGGTAGCAGATATTGCAAAGATAAACAGGTAGGCAGGGGGCCAAATTAAAAAGCTAGGAAACTACCTATGGATAATAGGAAGCCACAGGATTTAACATGTTCCTGCCAGCTTGAACCATCAGTAGTACATGTGTGACTATCGCTGACCACTGGTGGTTCAGAGCCAACTAGCAGCGAGACATATGGAATATGGCCCTGTTCTGAACATGTTAAATTAGTTAAATTTACATTTAAGGAAGATTACTATGGTAAGAATAAGGAACAGTGGAACGTGGATTTGAGAGGCTGATTCAGAAAGGGGTGGAACTAGAACCGTGGTTAGAGGGAAGAGGAAGAAGGGATAAATTTGAGAAATATTGAGGAAACAGAATCAGATTTGGTAATTCAGTGGCTATAGGAAGTAACACAGAAAAGTCAAACATGATTTCTCTTAGGGAAATGATAATTCCCTAGTCTAATGTTTCTAAACTTTTTATTATAATCCACATTACTACATTCATCAACACAGCCCATCACATATAGACTTATCTGTATTTGTGGACTGGGAATGAGTTTAGTAATACAGTATTTGCCTAACATGCACATAAACAACAAGAACAAAAAGCTACCCAGATCCAGGACTGTTTGTGAATGCATATACAACAATGAAACAAGTTTCACAAAATAATACTTACCATTTTTTTTTGTGTCCTGCTCCTGAATATTTTCTATTATTCCTATCCACTGTTTTTTTTTTTTTTTTGGTGTGTGTATGTATGTGTTTTTGTACTGGGGATTGAACAGGCAGGTGCTTGTGCCACTGAGCTAAATCCCTGCCCCTACCCACTGGTTTGATAAAACACTGCTCTGACTTATGTAATTCCATGCTGGTAGTAGCATAAACAAAACCAAAAATATAGGAAGCAATACAAGTTTAATATAAGGAGAGGTGTTCAAGCAATTCTACTTCTGGGACTTTATAGGTGACCCACAAATACAAAGATACATCGTTCCAGTTTGGTCTCTACCAAGATGCTAAACTAACATAACTTCTGGCTCTACTGTCCATAATCAGTCTCAAAGGAACCAAGTTTTAAAAACCCAAGAAAAGGGGAAAATATGAGAAACTCCTCTAGTAGTGTGTGGGAGGATAAAATAAAAAAGGAACCTCTGATATTTCTGCTCTTGCTTTTTCTCCTGAATCCTGAGACAAATAACTGGGACTCAGAGTTCTGGTCCAGACTTCCTTGGGAGTAATTTCAGGGCAGCACAGAAGGCCTGTGTCCGTAAAATCTAAGTAAAGGAGCTGAGATTAGTGGTAGAGCACTTGCCTAGCATGATTGAGGCCCTCAGTTCAATCCACAGCATGCTTATATAAAATAGAATAAAATATAAGGAGTGTTTTCATACTCTGATTCTCTCATTTACTGATAGGTCAAGTATGCCCCAAAATTAAAATAAAAAAATACATAAGATCTGAACCACACAATAACAAGCTTGAGTTCCATATCCAACAAGTAACCTACATTTTCCTTAGGCAAGTATTAAAGAGTGTTTAAAAAAAGCATGTGCTTGCCCATAAAGAAAGCCTCAGAAAATCTTTAAGTAACTGATAACAGACCATAATCTGGCACCAATATGTAATTAAATTAAGAGTTAATAATAAAAATTACTTTTTAAAAATCTTCACCTACTTGAAAATTTCAAAAGCACTGCTAATAACCCATGGATTAAAGAGAAATCATAAGCAAATACTTGCAATTAAATCTCCAGATATCACATTGAAGAAAAGATAAAATCATAGCAGAAATTAATGATTTGGAAATTAAATATATAATAGAGAATATCAGCAAAACCCAAAGGAGGTTTTAATAGGCAAAACTCTTGGCAAAAATAATTTAAGAAGTTAGAAAACAATAATGAATTAAACGGGGGGTACATATGTAGAGGCTGAAAACAGAATCCGAGTATACGTCCATAGTTTTCAAAATATTTGATCCACAAAATGAATAAAATCTCTTCCAAAATAACTTATCACAACTAACTCAAGAAGAAATGAGAAGCTTAGAAAGCTATCACAACCTATGTATCTCTTAGCTGAAATGGTTGGGACCACAAGGGTTTGAAATTTGAATTTTTCCGATTTTGGAATATTTGCACAGGCTTTACTGGTTGAGCAGCCTTAATCTGAAAATCTCAGACTTTTTGGGCATATATCAGTGCTCAAAACATTTCAATTTCAGAGCATTTTGGATTTTCAGATTAGGGATGTTGACATGTAGTATTAAAGAAATAGAAGCAGTGCTAAAGAGCTCCAAAAAGACAACACTAGGCTTCACTGCTCGTTTGATAAGCTGATTCCAAATTTCCATCCCAGTTTAAGGAAACCCTTAAGGACAACAGAGAAAGAAGAAATTCTCATGAAAGAAGAAATTCTCATAACTCATGTTATTAGCATGCTCAGCAATGACCCTAATAAGAAAACTATACAGTTATATAACAAAAGCAGAAAACTTCTGACCCATTTCATGCATGCTGGTAAAAAAAAAATCAGCAAATTAATTCTATAACAAAGATAAAATGCCACAGCAAGTTGGGTATATGCCAGGTTGTGTGGAAATTCATGATTAGAACATATTTAAATAGAAATTATCAATCACTATGTGATACCAACTTAGTCCTAACTTCCTATTGTTCCTTCCCTATTGAATGTTATTCTTCAGCAAATCTAAAGCACTTGCTGTGAAGTATACATGCTCTCCGATTCCCTGTACCTAGAATGGCTTCTCTCAGTTCTATGTGCCCACCTGTAAAACATTTTCTGGGAAGCTTTCCAGTTTCCCTCACCAGACGCATGCTTTCCTACATTCTGAGCACCTACCTTACATTAAATACCAGTCTGTGTTCTCTACTGTAACGTAAGGTTTAGGGTAGGATCCTGTAACTAGTCTACTAAAAAACAAACTCTTCTGTACCCTTCATCTTCTCTTAAGCACTCAGCTTTCTTCTAATATACTTTATATAAATTACACATATACTGTAATTCCTCCCTTCTGATATACATTATATATTA